AAAGGATGCCGAGAACATCTCTTTTGCAAAGTTCAGGAAGCAGATGGACAAGCGGGACGGCATCGTTCGCGAGGGTATCATGAGACTGCGGACCGCATTCGACAACGCGGCCGCGGAACGCCAAGAGAAGCTCAACCACATGAAGAAGCGAAGAGCCATTGAGCGGCGTGTTGGACTTCTCTCGGCGTGGATTGCTGCGTTCGACGCCGTATGCGACACGCGGGAGGACGAGAACGGCATGGCCCCGAACCTGGCAGCGATGCGCAAGACCGCACAAGGTATTCTGATTGAGCTAGAAAACAGCAGGCGGCATATCCACCAGAAGCTTGAACGATCCAACTGGGAACGGGCGCTTGACACGGCATTGCAACACAGCATTTCTCAGTTACCGGCCGGAGACGGGGTTACGAATGCTAGTGACAAGGACACTCTGGCGCGAGAGGCCGAGTTGCTGAAGACCAACTTCATGAGAGATGCGTATCGAGAGGTGCTGGAGCATGACAAAGCTGGTGATGCAGCTGTCATGCAAGTGCTGTTGACGGCGCAGTTTGAGATCCTGTCATCCCTCTCCGAGACGCTCACCATGAACGAGGGCGAGGCGATAGCGCACGCCAAATCCATCATCAACCGTCTCCTGGAGACCGGCTACTCGGCGGCATCGCATGTTGTTAAGCCCGACGGCTCGATGATACCGGTGGAATCGTTCCCTCCGACCAAGCGCGGTACACCGAAACGGAAGAAGTCGATCAGCATCAACCCAAAGCCAGTTGCCGCCCCCGCCTTTACGGCCATGTTCGCCCCTCCATCACAAGGTCAGACCTCCCCTGGAAAGGCAGGGTCGCCACGACGTCGAAAGATCGGCACTGTACGGAAGGGCGTATCGGTAACATTTACCCCAGTCAAGAAGAAGCCAGCCGTCCGGTGGCGGGATGATGAGACTGATGGGACATTGGCCGACTTTGAGAAGACGCCTAAGAAGTTTGTCGCCTCTCCTCTCGACGGCTCGACTGCCCAAGGGTCTCCAGCACCCCCTTCAGTGCCGTCGTACCTTGATCAAATGGACTCTCCGCAGCAATCTAGCCCTTCTCTCCCTCTCCCGGACGTATCAAGTCTAAATCTTGGCAAACCAAACCGGTTCCAAGCAGGCTTCCTGTCCAAATCCCGACCTTCTGATATGGGAGGATCAGTGGGTGGTTCCCCTACTCCTCCAACCTTCACTCTCAACCTCATGTCCAACTCTCCGGGCAGCGACGACCGACCAACGCCTCTGCGCAGTATCCCGGTCAGCCGAGCAGCTAATGCCTTCTCGCCTCCCCGATACTCCAGCTTGAGCCCCAAGCCCTCCATCTCGTCCATGCTGGACGAGAACCACCCCCCTTCACAATCGTCCTCCAAATCACCAACCACCACCGCCGTGACGTCAACAAACGTCTCGGGCTCAGACTCTGAGTCGCCTTCCTTCGACACTCTCAAACTCCGCTCCGCGCTCCAGTCCGCTAAGCGCCGCGACCGTCTTTCCTCGCTCTCAGGCTCTGCCTCGGTTGCTTCTGCCAAACGGAACCACTCGGGCGCCGGCTTCTCCGCGACCGGTCCCACGCCCCACCTCCCGTCTGGCCACCGCACAACACAGAGCTACTCGGGCCCGCTCGCCAGCTCGACAAATGGCATCTCGAGACACAGGCGGGGGAGCTCCGAGCGCAGACGGTCGCCGCCCATCATGTGCTCGCCGCCGGCCCCAAGCATAGACTCTTCGCTGATCGGGTCGATGGGGGGGAGTGGAAGCCGGTCGCTCACCCCTGGGCAGGCGCGCAGGATGAATATGAGCGGGAGCGTGAGGCTGGACGGAAGCAGCCCCCAGTCGGCCCAGTCGCAGCGAGACAGGGGCGATGGCAAGCTTAGAAGAATTACCATCGGCACTGTCGGGCTTCCGGGCGTCGGTGCGAATGGGGGCACCGGGGTGGGTGTGTCTGCTGGCGGGTCCTTGAGGTCGAGGCCGAGCATGGTCTGGCGATAAGCCGGCTGTCGGGTAGATTTGTGGGTGGCGGGCTGGTTTGCATACCGTCTGGTTTGGCGGTCGCGGCGTTTACTTTTTTTGTGTTGTTCTCTTTTCTTTCTTTCGTCATGCAAGGGATGTCGTCGGGGTGCATTGGAGTTGAATGGGTCTGCCAATGTTAATATGGGACAGGGGGCTTCTGCTTTTGCGGCTGCTTTGACTGTCTGTCCGTCCGTCTGTTTCTCTGGTTAACCTACCTGGTAGATACTTGGCTGTTGTTTTTCAGGGAAATAGGTTGTCAGGATTGACGGATGGATGGTGTTTTCTTTTCCTTTGTACCATCATTGTTTGTATAACTAGGACTGAGGTTGTCCCGTTTCTGGGGCCCGTCGATGGCGCTGAATGCACGGGTAAATACCTACCTGACCTCAATCACATGCGTATACAAGTATCTTCTTTAGTATGTTGTGGATGTGTGTTGCCGACTGGTGGGTGGTGTGGTTTTGAGGGTGCTGAAGAGAGTGAAGACTTGAGGTTGGTGTTTAATATTTTGATGTTTGACTTTGTCAGTTAAGTTCGTGGTGGGGGTGTTTGAATGTGAGCTTTGTATGAGGTTTGGGGGATCTTACTATTGGGTTTCGATAAGGGTGAGGCTTAAGTTGGGTAGATAAGGTCGGTAAGGTACCAAGTAGTCTTTTGCTTGCCTTATGTTGTACGAGGATGCTGCATGTCTCTTCTAGATTGTGCTAGCTCACCTTTGTTTGATTACTTACAAGTGAACAACAGGGTAAGTGCACAGCGAGTCAAATTAGTCGACTAGTCTCCAACGGCTGGACGTCCGTTGACTCTTCTCTCGACTGTGCAATGAGTGCCTAAGAAATTGTATTGATTACTGGCGTAAGAACTATCTGGATCGTGGCTACGGTCATCTGCTCTGTCTGCTCTGTGCCTTTGCCACAGAGCACGCAGAGCACCTCCTCATTGGTCCTTTCCGAAGACCCACATGACACATTGCTACTGGCTCCCGCGCTCCCCGCTCCGGGGTGCAGACTTGGGGTCGTGATAAGCGTACCTATCTTCCCAAAGCCCCATGCGCTAGCTACAATCCCGTCAAGGCAATGGGCATGCTCGGGCGTAGGGCCTGGGAAGGGGGGCCCGGTAGAACGACCAGCTGGAGAACCTATCAAGCTGGGGCATTTGGCGTTCTGCAGGTGAGAGTCCTCAGCCTGAACTAATCACGCACTGCCTTTCCAGCCCTTTTCTGCAGGCTGGAGTCCTCGCGCTCGCACCGGCTTCTAACCAATGTCTCGACATCTGCATAATGTACACTGCAGTGGCGCAATTCCGGTCGATTTGCAAAAGAGTCCTCTACAGCGGATCACGCTACGAAAACTACATCTTTTAGCCATTGGCCAGTTGCGATTGGACCATGGACAAGACTGTGACGATGCCTCTCAAATCAAAGATCGGTTTGTGCATGTAGGTCAGAGTCCTCGCTTTCCTTCAGGTTCAATTCCACATGGCAAACGGTAAATGCATATCTGGCCTATTTGGAGGCACATGCAGCCATAGCAGCTTATTGAGTCCTCGCCATTCACCAGGCCCAAGTCCCTATATCGCCTCACTCACACATAACATGCTCCGAATGATAGCATGTATCCGAGAGTCCTCCCTTCCGGCAACGCGCCATTTGCCTTTTCGGCATGTTACCTACAGGCCCAGAAACGTGCGGGAGGTGGAGAGGAGTCCGCAAAAGAAGGTGAGGCGCAAGATAAATATATACCAAGGTTTCCGCAAAGTCTTTTGTATCTGGGTCCAAGATAAAGTCCAATTATCTCCCACAGAGAAGAATACCTCATACTCTCGCAGAATTACATTCAATTCTACCTCATATTCGCACACCAGATTCTCAATCGCCACCTCCGTCACACAAGGAGCCGCCATGTCTGCACCAAATCCGGCCGGGGGAAACCCCGACCCACCGTGAGTTGACCATTTTATTTTTCTATTTTTTCTTTGTTATCGGTTTCATCTTTTCAATTGATCATTAGAATATCAAAACACAACCTATTGGTCGTGGCCTCAAGCTCGTCATGGCCTGAATGGTTCTAGTCCAGCTTGATCTTCAGTCGATGACCGCCATCCTTCTACAATGCTACTACCAAATAATACCAAGTTGTAAAACTTTTCGCTAATTTTCGTTTTCACCAGCAAACCGAACGGCCGTCCCGTGCCCAGGACGAACACCAGGCCAAACGGGGCCGCGGCCAGACAAATCATGACCCGGCCCTCCTCCTCCTCCTCCTCGCAAACCTCGACGAACCGCATCGCAAACCAGGTCGGGTCGGTTTACACACCCATGGCGGACGCGCAAGACCCCAGCCATGGGAGCCACATCCAGCAGCGCATCGACGCCGCCAGCGAAGCCATCGCGCGCTTCGACCAGCAGTGGCAGCGGGGGCAGGACGTCGCAACCCGCGACGCGAACTGAGTCGCCTGCGTCCGCTCGAGGGGCGCAGCGATACTTGATTATGTTCGGCCCTCCCATGTTGCTTGTTTCAATTTGTCACGCGGGTGGTGAAATTTTCCGCGCTACAAGTTGTTACAATTTATAGATTGGGAGAGTGAGAGCATATAGGGGGTTTGCTTGAGCCGAGTATCCTCGCTCTCAGTGGTTGATGGAGGACATAACTGCGTTGCGCGCAGATTTTTAAAGGAAAACCCGAGCTTTCAGGATCGTACACAAGATTCTTAACCAATTATGGTGCTTCCAATGGTCCAATTGAAACTTTCTTTTTCTTCCATACAATTTCACGAGACTTGCTCCTTCAGCCCTTTTACCAAGTTCCAACTGTCTCAACTGAGTTTGCCAAGCCCAGCACGGGCAGCGCAGCCCCATCCGGGCTCCAGTTGCATCGACGAGAAAGTTTGTGATCCAGTGGGCGACGGCCCGGCCCTGTACTTGGGGCAGTATTCTCCACCTCCATTCCATCAAACGCAACAAACAGCCATCGTAGTATAGTGGTCAGTACTTCCGCTTGTGGATTCAGATCTTCGGATCTAAAAACACGATTCGCGGACAACATTGGTTCGATTCCAGTCGATGGCATAATGTTTCCTTTTTGCTGTCCGTGTTGTTGTTCTCTGTCGATTTTTCTTTTGTTTTGCTTGTGTGGAAGCTGACACTTACGTAATGTCTTCCTTTTATCATGGAAGGTAAAGAAAGCAACAATGATCTCGAGAATATCCATTTCCATTATTTTGTTGACACCTCGTTGAAAACAAAGAAGCTGCTCTCTTCTTCATCCAGATTCATCCCCCCTCAAAAGAAGCAGTGGTAACCTCCCCCTCGTCTCCGTCATCCAGTTCCCCTCGCCCTCCTCCAACCTCCCGGCCGTCTCGCTCTCGACCCTCTCCCTCCCTAGCCTCTCGACCCTCTCCGTTCTCAACCTCCTCACCTCCCGCGCCTCTTCCGCCTTCCCCCTCCTCTCCAACACCTCCTCCAGCTTCTTAAACACCATCCCAATCCACCCCTCGTCCCGGAACAGAGACGGGTTATCCACCAACTCGCTCGCCGCACGAAAGTACCCCTCCGCGGCCTCGAGATCGCCCATCTCCAGCCTCACGTCGCCCCGATTCTGCAGCGCGAGCGCGCCGTCCCAGTCTCCGTGGTTTCGGAGTCCGTCCATGGCCTCTTCGGCTTCTTGGAACCGACCTTGGCTCAGGCATAGGTTCTTCACGGCTGTTGCGTGTCGGTGCCGCAGGAAGGCCAGCTCGCAGGAGGGAACGGCGCGGGGGCTTCCGATAGCACCGCGGGGTGGGTAGTCTGCTTCGATCGTGGCGAGGTGGTGACGGATGGTGGATTCTTGGGTTTCGAGGTCTTTGAGCTCGAGTACCGACTCGCAGTAGTCGTTGTAGACGCCGATCTCTAGCTCGGCCGCGCGGTTCGGCTGGGCTTTGTAGCGGTCGAGGAGGAGGAAAAAAAGCTGTTCGAGGAAGTCGGAATGGCCTGCCGCGCTGTCGGTGCTGACGCTGGAGAGGAATATGGCGTGGGTGTGTTTCCATATCCGCGAGTGGGGGTGTTCGGGTCCGAGGATGCGGGCGGAGAGCTGTGCTGTGTATCGCAGAAAGGAGCCCATGAGATCCGTCCGGCTGCGATGGCGAAGAACTTCAAAGCAACCTAGGAGGAACGGAAACGACCGGGGGTCTTCCTCGCGGATGATGTCGCTAAGATAGACAAAGGCGGGGCTGAGGATCTTGACGAGGTCGACGGGCTCGGATTTGTCCATCAGGTTTGATGCTATGTCGAGGCGGTCCCAGAGGTTAAGAAAGAAGAAGTTTCCCCGTCGCCCTTTGCGACTACGGCAGCAGCCCTTTTTGTCGACGAACCATTGGCCGCCCGCAAACGCGCCGTCGACGTAGAGGCCGACGGTATGGAGCAGCTCTTCGGCTTGGCTTAGAGTGGCTGGCGGTTTGAGTAATGGCTGTGGGGACGGTGATGGTGTCCTGCAGATGACCTTGTCCATCTTCTCGATGCCCATGTTGACGGACCGGATGTGGTCCCCAAAGACTACGCGTGCAGACTTTGCCCTCTTGCGCTTGATGTAGTCTTTGACCCAGTCTAAGTCGACTTCCTTGCCTCGGACAATGATGCGGGAAGCCTTGCCGGCGGCTTCACGGTCTTCGGCGACTTGGAGAACGGCGAGAACTTCTCGGGGCTTGAAGCTCTTGGAAAGGTTCCATTGCTTGAACTTGGACTTGTACATTTTCGGCCTGCAAGGCGGGGCATTAGTTCGTGGCACCTTTTATTCGCTTATATGGGCTGCCAATGGGTTTCCGTCAGTTGTTTCAGGTGGAAGGAGAACGGGACTGACGTTGCATGAAAATTGTGCTGAATTTCCATGATCGCCATGAGTTGTTTTAGTGTCTTCTTCTCGTCGATGTACAGCTGCCTGATAGTCGACTTTACAGCAACCCAGTCGAGCGGTTTGGCCCATTTCATGCCCCCGTTGACTGTTTCCCCCGAAGCCTGAGATCCTTCTGGCGTCCAAGAGCTGGATGGGAAAGGACTTGGCTCGGCCATTGACCACTTGTCCGGGATCGACGGACTGGGGGAAAAAGGGTATTGGACTTGTTCTCTACGCAATAGAGGGATCAAAATACTATACACTCAAGGTAGACAGGTTGAAAACATGATGTTAGAAGTACCGGATCAGAGGTTGGAAAGCTGAGCCAGGAAGCCAGAAGAACCGGGAAGAAGACTTGCCGATGATTGAAGGGCCCATGCCTGGTTTAGGCGCTTCACCCTATCGGTACGTTCCGTCACACATGCATCCCAATGCAACACTACATCGCAACATGTCCCCTGGTCATGGACAGGGCTGCATCGTGCTAGGTGCGGCAGTGCATGGGAAGGATGGTCGGTTCATCAGGGGAATTGATATCGGCGATTCCCATTGGATGGAAGTCATCCTCCCAGGCGGCGAAGCGTGAATGATTGCTAGACGAGTCAGCCCCAATGACTCTGCCGGTTATACCTATAATTGGCTTGTGGAAAGGGGTAGTAATAATTACTTTACATATCGGCCGAGCCTCCCGCTATTTCTGTCGGTGTGCGCGTGTAATTACTACCTCAGAAAGGTTGTCCACAAAACGACACGCGCGCCCATGAATCGGGATCAAGTAAAGATCGAGACTCAAATATCGAAACAAGAGTCTGTGAAGTCGGAAAATTTTGATGGCTTTACTCTTGCGACCTAGAGCGGTATTCGAAGCATTCGGTTGGTCCTTCTGCTCACGTAATAGTGCATTCCATGCTCTCGGCTGGTGTAAATACGAGACCAAAGTTGGAACATGCGTGCAGCTATCACCAAGTACAAATATCCGGTCGCTTCCCCAGGAACGTTTCAACCCCAGGGGCAATTGCTGTCTTCCAAATTGCTTCTGGAAAACACCCGGGCGAAGTCATGGAGGAACGGTTTGAGAGTATGCCGCCATACTAAATGCTCGCTGCTCTCGCATCTTCCATGATATCGATCATCTCGGCCGCGTCAATCGAGGCCTGGTGCTCGTCTCGCCACCTATCCTCGGGCGCATCATCTTTGAACCTTGTCGAGCTTGAAGCCGACAATGGGTCGCAGAAGGATACCAAAGACCATGGTCCTTGCTGTTCTGCTCTGCCGCGTCCTCTGGCGCAGCGGCCTTGGCCACGAGAAGGAATTCTGGAGAGACCCTCGCCCTGGAGATAAGCCAGCACGTCGGAGGCTCTGGCCTCGCGATGATAAAGGTCGACGGCTCACTGTTGCAGGGCCCCCTCGAACCTTGCTCGACCATCTAGGAAAGTTTGGCGGAATTCGCTGGGGTCATTACTGAACTGTTGAGGTCATGCTCCCGATTATTAGTCTCTTGGTGAAAATAGGCGCATTGTCCCTGTCCGGTTGATTGCTTGCCGGTCCTGCTCGCGGTGTCCGGTAATTAAGTGCCCACGCACCCAACATCCCCGAAATGTCGACCCAAAGAAGCGATCCAAAAGGTTGAGCAAACCTTGGCGTTGGGGCCCCAAGTTCAACCTCCGCAACGATGGCCGTCACGGTCGCTTCGTCTGCCGCAAGGAAAGGCCTCCGAGTCCGTTCCCGCTGCCTGAACGTGAACCGCTGGTCCCGGGACCAATGCGACTGCAGATATCGTGGAATTGACAACAGAATCGGGTCTCGCTGAGGCAAATGTCTGCAGTGTGGATTGCGAGGATCAGGCAAGGAAGGCAGATGTTGGAGACTTTTAGTTTTAGGTTGTGATTTTATTTGGCTCAGGATGAGACTGAAGTCACGGCAGCGATTTCAGGTTGGTTCTAATTTAAGACGCAAGCTGCTGCCCCGTCCGTGCACTCATGAGATTCCACTGTCAATCACGTGCGCGTTTCGATTCCGGGTGAATACCAGCCTGTACCCCAGCGGGAGAGCGCTAGCCTATAACAGGTTAGGTGCCTTCTGAGCAGGCTGAACATTTTGGGTGGGAGAGCTTCGCCAGGTCGGCGGTGGTCGTGTTGTCGCTTCGCCTTGCCTCGCCCTGTCGCAAGCAATTGCACTTCATCCACATCACAACCACAACCCCAACCACCAGCTCAATCAACATCCACATCGACATTTCCACTCGAATCTTTACGCGCCCGTCCGGAGACCCGGCACATCCTTGATCCCCGCCAATTTGCGACCCGCACACGCTACCCTTCAACCGTCGCGATGGGCAAGAAGAAGCGCGGACACCCCGATGTCGAGGAGATTCTCTCTCGACCGTGGTGCTACTACTGTCCGTCTCCCTGATGCGTGTCTGCGCCCGGAATACCGCATTGCTAACTCGTGTGATTCTCTGTAGGTGAGCGAGACTTTGAAGACCTCAAGCTCCTCATCTCCCATCAGAAAGCGAAACATTTCAAGTGCGACCGATGCGGCAAGCGACTCAACACAGCTGGAGGTATGCATACCGTCCAACCTACCCAACACGCGCCGACCTCCAAGATGCAAGCCCAATCGCTGACAAGTGCCTTCCCCTGACAGGTCTGTCGGTCCACATGAACCAAGTGCACAAGGAGAGTCTCAATAGCGTCGAGAATGCACTCCCGAACCGCCAGGGTCTCGACATCGAGATCTTCGGAATGGAGGGCGTGCCCGAGGACATCCTCCAACAACACCACCAGCGCATCATCACCAACTACTACACAGCCCAGGCCGAGCGCCATGCCGCCACCGGCAACCCGCCCCCAGGCCAATCAGGTAGCCAGGGACCGACAAAGAAGATCAAGGTCGAAACTGCAGAGGAGCTGAAGAAGCGTCTGGCAGAACACCGCGCACGACTCGCGGCGCAAAAGGCAGCGCTGGCAAACGGCACACCCCTCCCCGTCGATGGGCAAAGTCCAGGCCAGGTGGTGAGTCTTCCTTCTCGTTCGTGTTATGCTACTTCACGGCAATTGCTGACCCCCTCCCCAACAGGCATCCCCCTTCCCTCCCCCGCAAGGCGGCTTCCCGTACCCCCCACCGGGCGTCCCCGTCGTGCCGTCCTACTCGCCAGTGCAAGCATACCCCCCCTCATACCCGCCAGGCGCATCACCACCTC